ATGAGGAGGGGTGGGGATATCAAGTGCAGAGGGTTGAGTTATGCTCCTAAAGTCAGAAGCTCTGCTGTTCCTCTAACTGTGGTACATTGTCATCACCCATCCACACAAGGCCCCTCTTTTACCGAACCAGCATCTTCTTTACCTTAGAACCTCTTAACATCTCAATCTTGAGGTTCGCAATGTCTGAGATTTCTGCTTGTATAATTGGCACTGGTTGCATACACTGACTTTTTAATTGGGGTTTTTTGTCTCTCTCACACACGCGTACACGCACACACATGTTTTTCTTACCTCTCTTCCTTTTTTCCTTTATTTCTCCTGAACTGGGGCTTGAATCCAGGGCCTCATGCATGCTGGGAAAGCACTCTACCATGAGCTTTGTTCTGGCCCTCTTTTTCCCCCATTTTTTTTTTTTTTATTATTATTTTGAGACACAGGATCTTGGTAAGTTACTGATGCTGGCCTGGAACTTGGTGATCCTCTTGCCTCTGGAGTAGCTAAGGTTATAGGTATGCACTGCTACACTAGGCTCATGTTTTCATTATACCTAACCAAATGTGATTGAATGAATGGATATCAACAGCATGAAAAGAATAAGGTGAAACCTCTTAAATATGTACAGATAGATAATATTTACTTATTTTAACCTCATTTCTTCTAAATGTCACTCACTATAATTCAGACTCTGGATGTCTGAGCATATAGTGTGCTTTATTTCAGTACGTCAGCAAAATGAAGACCGCTTGGGGTCACCTTTGTAGTTCAGGAATAGTAGATGGGGTGACAATATACAAATAGTGAAATCAATTATTTGTTACATTTCTAACTGTGAGTCAGTGTTGGAGTTGGACTTAAATTCTGTATATTCAAATTCTTCATTATACTGTAGGTGTGGTTGAATATTTGTGTGTATGTGTGAGACTGAATTATTGATGGAATGGATACGTCTGAATCTTTAGGTTACAAAGAATGCATAGAGATTTAGATACCTATTAAAATAAAAATTGATGTCATCAGTATGGAACATAAACAATGCACAGAACATGACACAAATGCTGGCATCTAAAAGCTAGAGAGCTAAAATGTAATATTACAGTTTTTCTATATAGTACTTTTAGTATCACGGAACATACTCTACTTAATTTTCATATCACATTGAATGTTCATAAATGTGTTTTAAAATATAACTGAATAAAATGTGATATGTGTTTAGTTTTACTCAAAGTCTTTTAATATAATGTAAGAAAATGAAATTCTCTCAGCTTTTCTTTAATAGTTGGGTTTTTGAAAAAAGCAGCTTTTGTCTATAATTTAATCTTAGTGTCTTGTTAAGTTCTGCTTTTAGTATCTGCTCTCAGAAGTGAACTGTTTGTCAAATTTCCATTAAGGTGAAGGTGAAAAATTAATGAACCACTTACTTCAGGAATTTCAAAACTAATGCAAGTCTATTAGTCATGCAGCACAAAAAATCAAAGATTTGGGGATGTGCAATTATGGCTTAGGTTTCACTCATATTTAACTTTTAAATATTTTGTTTTATATGCTTAGTAGAGCAATCTGGTGAAAAATGGAATACAGATATTGATTTTTTAGTAGCAGATAAATATATCTCAAAGATGATTTTATTTATTGAAAAACTACTCATCTATAACAGGTAATGTTAGAACAAGGTTAATCATTGGGTTGATGGGGATAGATGGATCTGGAAAATCTGTTTGATGTGACTGCTGGGAGAAGGGAACAGTCAACTCTGGAGAAGTCATAAGTATATAGCAAGTAGAGAACTATAAATTGGTCTTCAGTTGGGCTCCTGCTCAATGTTATAGACATTCAGAAAAATCAGTAATATAAGCATTTATTTTTCAAATAATTGTGATTATTTCTATTTTACTAATTATTGATCTACTGATGTGTTTCTGACAATGTGCTAGGTGCAATGTATCATATAATGATATGGATGAATTGGTTTTTTTCTTCAAGAAAATTAGAATTTAGTGAAAAAAAAGGTGAAGTGTTTCTTGTATAGCAATAATGATAATTGAAAAAGGCAAGTATGGCCAAAAAGGTGCAGGTGTATCACACAGAACCCAAGGTATCAGTGAAAACTTCACGTAGAAGGTGACTTTTGAGTTGGGCTTTGAAGGAAGCACTGTGCACTTAAGATTTATGTAGTGGGTGAGAAGAACAAGTAAAGTGAAAGGAAACGCTTAAGTAAAAATATGAAGATAAAAATCACAGAACATGTAGGGGATAGATCAAGCTTTAACGGAAGACATATGAGGAAGAATGACAGGAAATAATACTGGAAAGATAAAGTTTAATATTGCAAAGGACCTTGAATGACAAGCTAAAATAAGTATTTGAACTGGTAAAGCATACAGAAACTTAAGAAATTTTATTTTGTATGGGAAACCTGTTAGGATCCAACATCCATCAAAATTTCAAAATAACTGATACACATAAACATCGTTTCACTGTCCTATGTATAATAAAAATTGGTAAAAGTGATGGCAGTTTGTGTGCAGGGGTTGGTCACATTGCCTGTCAGCACCCTCTTGGAGGTGTGTGGATCCCCTTCACTTTGTCCCAGCAGGTTCTGTGACCACTGTGGTCTTCTAAGTAGACCATTCATGGCCTGCTTCCTGAGCATGAGACCTGTGCCGTCTCTCAGAGCTCCGGCTCAGGAGGGCCTCACATTTGTTTCAGTGTTCTGCTACAGCCATATTGAATTTCTTCATATTTTTGCAACGGGCCATCCCACATTGTCATTTTGCTCGTCGCCCTGCAAATTATATAGCCAGTCATGGAAGTATGACATGAAAATGGCCAGGGAGCCGTGAACTACACTAAGGTCCAAATGCACTGTCATATATCCACAGAAAAGAGTTACTAAATTACAAGACTAGAGCTGTGCTTATATAACAAAACTGATTCCAAGCTTAAATCTTTATTATTGTTTTCTTCAAAGCCATGACTTCTAAGGCTGCCACAGGCCTAAGCTAAATATCATTTTTTCAGCCTCGTGGTTTTCCAGATAATAAATTAAGGAAACACTTTTGAAACATATTTTCTCATTTATGCTCTGCCTCCTGGAGCCTGCCTGCCAGGATCATTGGGCTCTGCACCCCCTGCAGTCCTGTCAAATTAAATTCTGGGAAAACTTTCAGCAATTATTTTCCTTAATAAAAGTTTTGAAAAATATAAGACTGTGTTCGGAAACATTATTGGCTGCCTCATAGAGTCATTCCATTGTGCATTTCTTTTTCTGACTCTGTAAAAATATTTCAGTTGATGATTTTTTAAATGTTTGCTTAAGAACCATTTAGTTTTTTTCTTTTTTTACTAAGTATTTGTGTAGTTTTCTTCATTTTGCATTACCACAGCTGTTTTCTCTCTTTTTTTACTTTGTTTTTTTTTTCAAACTTATAAATGAATATAGTTTATTTAGTCAAATATTTTAATGAGGCTTGATTTATAAAAATGCCACCTTCCCCTACCCTTTCTTGTGTCTCCTATCCTTTAATTGTCTCCCCAGGGAAAACACTTAATTGCTTTTAATACCTTTTGTCACCTATTTTTTATATTTACCTCCTATCTTTCAACATGTTTGGGTTATCTCATCATTTTTCAGTATTTTCCATTATATTGACTTACCACTCAGAAAAACATGGATTTACCTTTCATAAGACTCCACATGCATGACCTTGAGCTTTGGCCCCTCCCCCTATTTATCCTGAAAATATCATTTTTTGCTTTTAAGTCAATAATCATCATTTATATTATGATTATATAAATATCACCCATATTGTACCATTACCTACCTTCTAACACAAGTTCTGGTCCCTTTACAGCTAATAGTTGTCTCTCTTTATATTTCTTATTTTTCTACATGTCTAGGAACTCTTCAAATCCTAATTCTGATCTGACAGTAAATATTCTCTGGATACATTAGCTCTCATCTGTATTCCCATTTATTTTGTCTTCCTGGAGACCTCCGTTCAGAGACTCCTAGCCTCACTGGGCTGCTTCAGTGGGCATCCCTCTTACTGTACAGTATTCATGGTGGAAGCTCACACTTAAAAATAGCAAAACTAAGTTGATTTGAAGTTTTTGTATAGGGGTGTAATTTATTGAATAATGATTTCCAATGCAGGATGTCTTGAGAGAGTTACTTTTGGCTAGACCTCCAGATTTTAATTATTTTTAGATATTTTTGGTTGGGCTGGACTTATTTGCTACTAGACAATCTTCTATTGACCTACCTGGACAGAAGGAATTGGGTGTCAGGAAGGTAAAACATCTGAAGAGTCTCAGCAATGATATCAACATCCTGTTTTCAGTATCACTTACTTCACTGTATCTGGTGTCTCCAGATTCAGAGTTTCTATTTTCTGTTAGAATGAGGGAGGAATAGGAACCTGCATTGACTGGGTGTGCAAGAAGCTCAGTAGGACAGATTCCTTCTCAATTAGAATCTATTCCAATCCTCTGAATCCAGCCACCTTCATGCCTGCCTCAGTAGGGAGCTGTTTTTGCCAATCCCTAAGCCTGAGTTCTGCAGTTATAACTGTGCTGCTTCTTGTTTCTCACTGCAGGCTGAGATTTTGGTTTCCTCAGGGCTGTTACGTCAGTTGACACTTACTCATCTGCTTTCCAACTTCTAAAATTGTATTACTATCTATTCTCTCTGCCCCTGTGGATTTACTCTTTTTCATTCCTTTGTTGTCATTTTAATGGAGTTTTATGGGACAATGGAGGTAAGTGTATGTGTACAATCTGCCATCTTTAATAGGATACATACTTGTAATTGGACTAGATTCTTATGAAGTATCTCAAATCATTTTTAATAAGTAGAAACAGTGTAACTAAGAAGTAAATAAACAAATGAACAAATATAAACTTACTGCTCATGATTTACATACTTAATACAAAGAACTTCTCCTTGATTATTTTTAATATCTGTTTACTAAGGACAATGTTCCTTCCTCTTCTGAATACAGATGGAAGCTTCAGACAAAACCAGTCAAACCTCACCTCCCTGTTAGTGCAGCCCATTTCTGCATCCCTTGTGACAAAACTGATCTCTTCTCCAACAACGAGAAGCAAAAGCAACATCTGTAGCCCTCTCGAGCTTCCAAATAATGGTAAAGTATTTAATATCCTTCTGTGTGTCTTGTCATTTTTGAAAGAACTATGATCATTAAAAAAAAAAGTCTCTTTAATTGACATGTTTAGGATTCTTCTTTCCAAAACATTGACTTTTGATGAAGGGGACATTTAACTGCTCTGTGCTCTATAGAGATATTTTTAAAAAGTAATTTTGGTAAACACTGAGAGTGGACCAAACTCAGAGGTTTAAAAAAATAAAAAATAAAAAAGCATTTTGAACTGCTACAAAGAAAAGTAGCTTTACAAAATAAAGCATTTTGTACATGCGTGAAAATCTGCTTAACATTGCTTTCCCATTTCTGCTTCAGCAGTCTCACTGCCTGCCAAGATTCAGTGGATAGCAGGCAGCTATCTGGGGTATGAAGTCTTTTAGTATAAAGCATTAAAGCCTAATTCCTGCAATTGACTAAAAAATCCCTCTGTCTATACGCATCATCGCCCTAGAGATGCTTCTGGTACAGCAGTGCTGTTTGTCAGGCCTTGTTGGGCCACACAGGATCAAACCAGAGTAGTTAAGCTACCTATGGTAGGATGAAAGCCAGGGGCTGTATTTTGTTTCTGCCTCCAACTTCAGCATTAGAGTTCAAAGAAGAGATTCTCTTTACATATTGTCAGGTTTGTCTCTAGTTGCTGTTAACTATTACTTAAGAGCTGGCGTTTTATTTAATTTATTTTTTTGTTGTGTGTGTGTATGTGTTCACCTCTGAAAGCGCAGCTGGCTGTGTTTTAGCTCACCTGGTTTTCTCTCGATAACAAAAGCATTAAAAATGTTTTGAAGAAGCTTTTTGAAAAAATCTGAATACATTCAGGATGGCTTTCTGCTAGAGGCATATACTTTTCAACGGTCTATAGACCAAGAACCTCCTCAACTCCTTATTAATTGAGCAAAGTAGACAATAATAATAATAATGACAACAATAATAAGCCTATGCCCTCAAAGGAGTTCTCTGGGAAGGTTTATGTTTTGTTTTGACTTTTTTGTCTGTCATCTATTGAGAGCTGCAGAAACTGATCACATGCTTTGTTAAAATATGTGAGCAACAACACAATAATACTTAAGTCATAAAAAAAAAGATCTGAACTTGTAAAGAACTAGATTTAGGCTCTGACTTCATTAGTTAAGTCATTACAGATTTGAACTCCCAATGCATTCCAGTCACTGTGTTCAATTCCTGCATTAGTACCGTAACTGGCCCTATCTCACTTCCCAACTAGAAGTACTTCTTTCATTTACAGAAGGTAGCAAACCCTCTGTCATTCCACGTTGTAGTGAAAATAAAATTATGATATGTCGTGGGCCAGGCATGGGCTGTGTATGTGAACTATGAACATCTGAGCATATGGGAGGACTGGCCTGATGTTGAATGCTCTTTGGGCCATGTAACACAGGTGTGTACTTTTCTCACGCTCTGCCTGTGTTCCCACACAGCACCTGAGATGGGTGTGACTTGTGAAGATGTCAATCAATCTACTGACATCATTAAGCTAGACTCAAGCCCCTGAAACCTGACCCTTTGCCTTATTTGGAAAGAACATTCTATTGAACCTCCCTCTGTGTCCCCTGCTATAAAAATAAAGAGGTGACTCGCACTCTTTCCTTATTAACTCCTTATTAATTGAGCAAAGTAGACAATAATAATAGTGATGTAGACTTCTAGTATAAAATGAGCCATTGCTCATTTTCTCTGGACCCAGAGAAAAAGGTATTTTCTTTGTCTTTGTGTGATTATTTTGTACCAATCCAAATGCACCTGGAGTGACCCTGAATGATTTAGTTGCATGTCATGGCAATGATATATGCCTCACCAATTTTGTATGCTATAAAATATTAGGAGAATTGGCAAATCTTTTCCTTATTAAGAAAATATATTAAGTTCCTTCTCAATGTGCAAATAATGTCTTAGCAAAACAAAATGATACTTTCTCCATATATATCTCTATAATAAACTAACAACATGTATCATGCTGATAAACAAAGTTGAGATATATGCTAAAACCTGCTTACAAATCCAGTGTTAATGATGCAATGAGATAGACCTGATTTCTATGAAATTATGCCACATCAACTTTTTTATGGATATAGTAATTATTATTGTTTTTTAGAAAAATCCAGACATATATTTCAATCATAGAAAGATATTTAATGTTATAATGAAGCTTCATTTTTTAAAATAGAGAATTATGCTTATATTTCTTAAATATTGATTAAGCAGTCTGAGTAGGAGGTTAAACATAAAACTAATCTTAAATATACTGTAATGACCCCCTTTACCCTGATGTTTTGGACAATAACACTCATCATATATACAAAATTATTAATGTTTAAGTTTTTCTGATAATCGTCTATAAAACGCACTGAGGTGCTGGACTTTTAAGCAACTAGAACTGTGCTTATTGTTTATGAATTAAAAAAAATAATGTCAGACATTTTTTTGTATTTGTTCAAATCAGTTATACATGCCAGTAGAATGCGTTTTGACACATTACACATAAATGAGTATAACTTCTCATTCTCCTGTTTGTACATGATGTAGAGTTACATGGGTCATATAATCACGTATACACATAGGATAATAAAGGCATGCTATATCTTGTTGTTAAATTCTCTACGTATATCCCTGAACTTTAGGGTAAGAAAATCTTCACTACTTGGGTTCAGCTATAGTACATTAAAAATAAATGTTCAAATCAACCATTTATCATACTTATTTAACTATCTATATCGAATCAGAATTCTATAAACTGCAGTCAAAAATATGGTAGAATTTTTGACCTTTTTTCTTAACACTTTAAATGATATGTTATGAGTAAGTTTGGTAGAATTCCAGACTCTGAGAATAGATCCTGACTGGCTCAAGCCCATTGGCTTATCACATTAATGATATTGTGACAATCGAACCATGATCCAATCTGGCAAAACAAGACCAAGATGTGATTTTTGAACTTTGACCACTGACTCATTTTATACTAGAAGTGAACAAGAAAGCATATACCTCTAGTATATGTCTTGGAACCATGAGAGTGCATTTTACTCCAAAATGGAGTCAACAGGAAGAGTGGGGAGGGGCAGGGGATAGGGCAGAGAGAGACTCTTGTCCACAGCATTTGATCCTTAAATAAAGACTTATCTGAAGCCAAATCCATTGAACTGTCCATTTATGTTCTGTTTTCAGTTATTTGCAATGGAAGACTGATTCAGACAGTAAAACTTAAAGAAATAAATGTTTGTATTTATGAAATATGCTCAGCACAGAAGACAGTGGGCATTCCTATAGAGAGCCCTGTCAGAACAAAACAGTTTTATGAGAAATGGAAAAAGAATCAGGAAAATTATTTTTGCCTAAATAAATATAGATATTTTCATTGATTAGATAATTGGATGCTGACTCCATTTTCTTTCCCTGTAACTTCCTTTTTCTACCTAGTACTTAATGGATTTAACATATTGTCCATCTTTGTTCTTGAAACTCAATCAGAACATGAAAATCTTAAAATGTGAAATATCAATCTGAGCTTGAGGCTAAAATACATGAATATAATAGGAAAAAATGAGATGAAAAAATGTAAAACAGATAATATAACTTAAGGAGAAAAATATAAATGAATCAAGTTAAAAATAGTATTTTTATATATTTAATGAATTCATTATTTGCATAAAGAATGCCCATTTATCAGTGATGGCAAGTTTTTACAGAAGTAAATTTGGAGCATATTTCTTCAAATGGAAATGTATATATGTATATGTATATGTATATGTGTGTGTGTGTGTGTGTGTGTGTGTGTGTGTGTGTGTATATTCTTATTCACTACTTGATATATTCTTTGGTGAAAATATCAATATAACATTGAATTGATAATTTCATAGTAATCTTTACCTATTTCAAATGTACTTTAAATATTTATCTTTTTTAATTTGTTGCCAGCTATTTGAAAAAGATTATTAGCAACTTTTGAGTAGAGATTTAAAAACATGTATTGAACATATATACTATTACAAATTGTGATTATACAAAAATTATTGGCAAATCATTAATTTTAACATTTAAAAGAGTCATTAACAAGAAATGTTAGAACACTTGCTAGTACCTGGCATTATTTTTGTTACATATGAAACTAATCAATCTGTTTAAAGTACATGTGATAAAATCCAGGAGTAATTATGCTATTCTGGTTAGAGAATGTCTTGGGATTATGTATTTGTTTCTATATAATTATCTATCTATCTATCCATCTATCTAATCTATCCACCCTTCTATTAATCCATATATCATTGTATATCTATAATATATTTCAATAGACAGGGAGTAGTATAGATTTGATTATGATGTGCTTTCATCTAATTTCCAATATAGTAAGTGGTTAGCCTTGTTGAGCACAGCAAAACAGAAGAAAAAACTTATTTATTTATTTATTTATTAGTAGATTTTAAAAAGTAGGAAAATGCAAATTTGTTCTAGAAGAGTTTTGGTTGCGTAGTCAGCTTTCTTCACTATAATAAAAATACCCAAGGCAACAATTTAAAAGGAGAAAAGGTTTATTTTGACTCATAGTTTTGAGGTTTCACTCTAGAGTCATTTGACCCCATTGTTTTGGGGCATGTGATGAGGCAGTGCATCATGGTAGAGTGTGTGTGGAAGAGGAAACTGAGAGAATAAGAGGAAAAACAAGGTACCAACAACCTCTTCAGTGTCATATCTTCAATGTCCTAACTTTCTTCCACTAGGTCCCACCTCCTAAAAATTCCACCATCTCTCCAATAGCAGCACATGCTGGTGACCAAGCATTAAATTCATGGGCCTTTAAAGAACATGTATCCAAGTGATATCAGTGGGCTTTAATAACTTCCATCCATCAATAGAGAAGAAAATACTTGGAAGAAAATTGGGAATCTTAATTTGTGCAGACAACTTCTATATAGCATACATACAGATCTGGTAGCTTCTGCTTATCTAAAAAAAAATAAATGTGCTAGATC